TTTATAATTATAAAAAATAGAATTGAAAATAAATAATATATATGTTTAACTAAAAATTTAAAAGAATATTAACATAAGATTATCATAATAATTTATTATTTATAGAATAAAGAATAAAAACTATAAAGACCTAATTAAAAATAAGGTAAAACAATAAGGACCTAATAAAAAGAAAAAAATTATAAGGATTTGATTAAAAAAAAAGTGAAATTATAAGGACCTAATAAAAAAAATTATAGGGATCTGATTAAAAATTGGTTGAAACTATAAAACTTGCATATTAATTATCCCATATTTCATTAACAACCATATTGACTAATAATTATTTTAACATTTTTATTAACAATAACAAAAAAGTAATTATTTTTGTATTATGTTAAATCAAGGGCATTAAAGTCATTTACTCCTCACCTTTTCCAATTCCATAGTCATTAACTAAACTTAAAATTTTTTATCAACCCATTTTCCATTCTAGTGCTTACCAAATATGTCATGGCTCACAAATTTTCCATTGAATTCCATTCTTTTCCATTCTATTCTATTCGAACAAATTCTTTCTACCAAAAGGGCACTAAGTGGTGGTGGTATGGGCGTTGGAAATGTTTTAAAAACGGAGCATTTCTGTCATTTTGGTTGAATTTCAAACTGCTAGTTTAGTTTTCCTTTCCTTTTTGTTATTATTGAGTATTACCTTCCCATTTTGTCATTTAATATTTTCATAATTTTTTTTGTCACTTTCCCGGTATCAATTTCTATAAAAAATTGAAACATCCTATCTTTGAGACACTCAACTTAGTCTCACATATCATCATAGAAATTGATATGGTAATAATAAAAGCAACAAACCAACATGATTGTAAAAAGAATCATAATCATCTAATAGGCATAATTATACCCTAATCACTATTCCTAAAAAGGGCCTCAAGCCACTACCTTAAAGAGAAATTCCACTTATTTAAATGAACTTGTTCACCTTCTTGTGGATCCACAAATAAACAAAACAAAACAAAAAGAAGCAAATCCAACGGTTCTGAACGTACTAATCAAGTGTAGTCCAATTCAGCAGCAATAAGATCATAATAAATGTAATATTTCCAAATTAACTAAATGAATGGAAACTACTCTAACTGTCCTGGGTGGCAATTAACAGTAAATCAAGCATAACAATTATAGAAGGCTGGCTACTCCCTAAAGTAGCCTCATCCCTCTAATGTTTTCCCTGCTGCATCTCCTCTGCTGCTCTCACTTGAAAAGTGATAAAAGTAATGGGGTGAGACAAAACGTCTCAGTAACTCAATTCCTATCTACCTTACCCAGCAACACTACCCGTGAGATACCAGATGGAACTCGTAATTTAAGTAGATAACCAGGTGATTAAATCAACAGTTCAAGCATATCATAAAGGTGTTTATGACAACAATAGAGCTATAACTATAACAATTAAAAGTATAGCAAGACAATAAAGTATACAACACATGGAAGTTTGCATTCTATTTTATTACTAGTTCCAACCTTATCTCCTCCTTATTCCCGCCGACGTGAACCCATGGGCTAATTGCTACCCACCAGTGTGATGCGGACTGGCCAAAGTCGGCAGAGCACACAGGGGCCATAGGTTCCTCTAGTAGGGGATGCTGCCCTCAGGGATGCTGCCTGGGTATGAACCACTAGAGTGTCGCAAGCCTAGGGGATGCTGCCACGGCATAGGAAGTGGCCAACCACTGAGCGCCATGTGGTGGCCGTGCCACGTGGTCACAAATATCATGTCTCCATCACGACCTCCTCCTTTAATAACAATTAATCAGTCCATCTTAATTACCATTTAGTTAGTCTTAACAACTGCTTCTCAGCATGATGGATCTCACACAAATCATAGAACAAACAGTTAAGATAATCAAGGCTAAATAACTTAGTTTCTTTCATCCAGTATCTTGAAGAAATAACTGTTCCACCGAGCAGTTTCATAAAAGCAAAAAGTCCAATATATTAGCCAATAACTAAGTTTTCATTCTGAGATTTTCATAAAGCTCACTGATAGTCTCGATAAGTGAGGCAAATAAGAAGAGAGTTACCTGGTGCTCTAGCAAAAGTCACTCTAAAATCCTTAATCGCAGTCTACAAAATCACAACACAATATTTATTACTATACCACTCAGAACCACTCTAAAGCTACTCTAAGACTTGAGGATACTCTAAGGAACCTAAGTAAATATTGTCAAATTCTCATATTTGGAATTCAATACTTCTCATTTTCTTTCTAAACAGATGTTGTGAAAAGTTTGTTATCATATAAATAAAAATGAAAACATTTAGACTTAACTTGGTATCACTGTTTTCGATAACTAAAAAAGAAAAAAAAAATCTCCTTCATGATAATTTATATCCATTACTTGAATGGTGGAGTTACGTAGAAAAAATATATTAATTTTCTGAAGCAAAGATTAATATATATATATATATAAACGAAACAATTGTTTTTGCTAGCCGAATGTATATATCTATATATATGTGTCTCATTATGAAGGTACGGTACTGTTTTTACGATAAATGAATAAAGTATACACACACCATACAGATTTGACAGAAAAATTTGGGAACTTGGCAAGGAAGATTTTTTTTCCCCTTTTGAAACTAGGATTAAAATACTGTCATATTTGTGATAGATGGATTTTGCTCTTTAGGAATAAAAGAACATAACCGAGAGGAAAGCACATAAAAAGGTAAGGAAGGTTAATCCTTCTGATTCACGTCCCACACCAGCGTCTATATATAAATAGATTTAACATAATACCTCTCAACAATAAATATATATATATATATAGTCTCTCACTGCGTCAAAGCTAATTATAATGAGGAGAGCAAGTTACGTATAAAGGAGGAGGGAGAGGAGAAAAATACAAAGAAAGAGAGAGAAGAGGCAGAGGAAGGGACAATCACTGTAGAGGAGAAAAAAAAGAAAGTGAAGAGGGAAGACTCCGGTACCTGACGGCAGCTCCAGAAGAAAAATACTGAATGAAAGCAGAGGTTGGAGCCTAGGTTTAGGTTACTAATATAACTTTTTAAAATTCAAACTAACATATATATATATATATATATATATAACTTACTAAGATAATTTTTTTTTAAAAATTCAAACTAACGCATCTTACCTTATCTTTTTATTATTTTTATTTTATTTTATTAAAAAAAACTTGTAGATGAATTTTATGATAACAAAAGAGTCAAGATATCTCAAAATTTTATATGGACTTTTCTAAATATTATATACATACATATTTTATACTTCAATATCTCTTAATTTATTTCTAGATATTTGGGTGTGTGTATATTTTGCATTATCTTTTCTTGATTATATAGTCATTTGTGATTCCCGTTATCTACTAAATTAATTTTTATATATTTTTTATATTTGAAGAGAAAAAAAGAGTACTTTAATTTCCTGTCATTCCCTGGCCCTTCTAGTCATTTGGACCTACTAATTACGCACCTATTCTTCTTAAAGGCCCAAATTTCACTCTAACCCCAAAAAGAATCAGGATGTTACAAAAATCATAAATATTAATATATATATATCTAATACAATATTCATAATTATTTTACTTTTTATATAAACAATTTAAGTGATCTGCACACAGAACTCATTAAAAAAATAAAGCAAACAATGATATGTCCAAAACTCATGTCGGTAATTCAACACTTAAATTTCTAATTTATGACATATTATGTGCAAGTACAATTCCACTCACATGGTTTTAACTCGGTTGAAATTTGGTTCCTAAACTTTAAATCACTGCAACTCATTTCCTAACTATAATTTTAACCATTTAAAATTTTAGTTTCTAATTTTAACCATTTAAAACGAAATATATAATTTTATTTTCTACAAGTCACGGGTGACTAATATTTTAAATCATTGATGGATTAAGTTGCAACCAAATTAAAATTAAAGAAAGTTAATTTTCCTATGAATCAAATTGAAGCATTATCTTTTCTTCATCACCGCCATGGGAATAGAAATATCTGCATTTGATCAAGGCACATTATAGGCTAAGAAATTCTATTAATTAACATTGATAGCGATCAGAATTGCTTTCCGGCAAATCATCTATATTTGAAAATTAGTGTCCCTCAATCATAGGAAAATATTCAATCATTGATCATTCACTTTCCTTAATTGCGAAAAAAAAAAAAACTTATTTCTCAAGTAATTTTGCAACTGAGTACTCTTCTATATATAAATAAGTCTACTCAAATCGATCCATTACTTTCCTTCTTGTTCTGCAATATTGAATTTGATCACCCAACCCTCCTGAGCATATTTAATTACAAGGTGTATGCTCTACTTCTCTGAGCTTTGATTCTACTTTCTTTTCTCTATTTCATGGCAATGTACTGTTTTAGGTATATATCTCTAACAAAAGCAATTAAAGCTCTTCCATATATGCGATTTGAATTCATGTATTTTCCCTGACCTGAAATTTTCAATGATACATGCATAGGTAGTGTTATATATGTGATTAAAATAAACAGAATTATTCCCACTTTTCTTTGGGCACCAATCAAAAGAAAATAATCAATGACTCAGTGTTGTTTTTGTTCATTCTGGTAACATGTTTGTTTTGTCAGATTTTTTTTTTTTCATGTTAAGTTTCTGATCAATTGAGAAGTCGCTGCCAAAAATGAAACTTTGGTTTAATTTGCCGTCGCTGTAAACTTTCAATAAAAATCGCTGAGGTGATGACTTTTCAGCAACAACAAATCTTTATTGGTGACTTTTGCACTTTCAACGATGACTTTTTAGCTTATTACCGCAGAAAGTCATTTTTTTAATAGAGATATGCAACTTGGTGTGGCTTTCCTAATAAAATTCTGTGTTTATATGTGTCGTTCACTCATATTATTGGACATGTTTTGATTGATGAGTAATGAACAATAATTTATGTTTGTGTACAGATCATTGATATATTTATATGAAGAAAATGAAACGTGAAAGGATAGCCATGGAACCAATCCAAAATAAGAAAGCTCGCAAGGCAACGTTTGAGGGTAGGAAAAAGAGCATAATGAAGAAAGCTTACGAGCTTTCTACTCTCTGTGGAGTTGAAGTCTGCATCATAATCTATGGCCCTAACAATAATGAAGGCCAAGTTCCCGCTCAGACATGGCCTCAAGATCCCCAAGACGTCATCAGAATCATCCACAAGTACAACAAGGCCAGGATCGCCAGCCGCCAGCCACCGAAGAAGTACGATCTGCAAGATTTCTTCAGAGATAGAAGGAACAAAGTTGAAGCTGAGAGAGCAAAAGTTGACAAAGAGACTCTCAGGAACTTGTCCTCTCACCAACAAAACTTGAATTCACCAAGAGATGATGAATTGAGAATGTTTGTGGCTGAGCTCGATGCTAGGATTGAGGAATGTGACAGAAGAATCAACATGTTGAAAATGATGAAACCAGATCATCATCAGAATAATAATAACCCCAGAATAACAAACCAAAACCTTTTTAATGTGTTTCCTCCTACTATGAAGTCTGCAATTTTTTACCCTTATTATTCTCCTGTATCTCAGAATATTCTTCATATGCAGATAAATAGTGGGCCAAGAAGAACCAATTTGAGAATGAGGGAAAAAGTTCCGTGATGAACTACTACAATGGAGGAACAAGTGTGCAATATTCTGGTCTGCAGAATCCACCACCTCTTCTTCGTCCTCTAGAGTTTCAAACTGAAGATGGCTGCCACAGTAATACCTAATACGCTTCGGACTCAGATAATACCGCATTATGAGCATGCAAACAACATTTATCATCAGGAGCATTTCTTTTAACTCTATGATCATAGCTAGGTCTTAGTTCTATAAAACTTAATTAGATGTACGTACGGAGGCGTTTCTCCCTCAAGTTAATTTATTCAATTTGCCCCCTCTTGTGTGTTGATTTGCTTTGAAAGCTTCTCATGAAGGTTTTTATTATTTCAAGAATTTCTAATGCAAGAACCAAAACCCTAACATTGAAGTGAAAATGACATACACTACCAAAAAAAAAGGAAATTAGAGACAAAAAATTCCATCAATAAATTCTGTTTTCGTCACTAATGTATCACTAATTTCATAACTAATCAAAAAGTCTATTGCTAATTAGCTGTTTTATTTTTAGTGGTGGATATCATTTATTTGGATAATAAATCTGATTTTTATGGTACGTGATGGCTTGATCCATGCTTTCTCTTTCCTTTCATTTAATCTCGTTATGTTAAGTTTTTCTCACTATAATTTGAGTATTTATCAGGCAGAACAACAAATGAAATAAAGCTCTTCCCTAAGCATTTAACAAGACTCCATTTTTCACGGCTTGAACTCACCTCTCTCCCAAACACGCACCAACTATTTTCCATCCATTTTCTTTTTCCATATTTTCGTTGTTCAATTCCATTGTTTTAATGATAATAAAATTAGAAAGGAATATTGTTTTGTAGGATTTAATGAATATCTGATGACAAAACAATCAAAGTGGAGAGATATAAGAAGACTAGAGCCTTTAAGTCTTTATTTTCTTTATGCTTTAGTATCTTAATTCTCATGTATTAGAGTAGAGAGAGAGAGAGAGAGAGCTATGCATTTAAGCTTGAAACATTAATTTTCTAAAATTTTGAGAAAGGAAGTTAACAAGTATTTGCATCGGTTTTATAAAACTTAGAAAACATTCCGAAATGATTTTGTTTAGACTTAATTTTAACACGTTGATCTTTACGTTTAACGGGTTACTTTAGCCATTTTTCACTTTAATATGTTTTTAATCCATCAAACATATTAATCTTTCTAGTTGTTTACTGTCCTACCCTGTTAATTTTTATTAGGAAAACAAGGAAATTAGAATTATTAAGGGCCAAGTAGTGTAGTGAAAATTTAGATAGAATAACTTTTGAATTGAGATCAGATCTAGGATTGGATTGTCATTTTTAAAATACCCAGTCAATATTAATCAGAGTAAGAAGGTACACCTAGAATCCCCAAAATTTTTTAGAAAATCATGAAAAGTAGAATAAAGGGCAGGAAATAATATTTGAGGCCTGAAGGGTAAAGATAGAATAAAAATAAATTATTTTGAAATTTCTGGTATTTTCTTGGAATTTTGGCTAATTAAGAAAAATTTTGCCAAATTGAATTATTTAAAATACTTAGAGACCTTGATAATTCATGAAAAATTTAGAAAAATTCCTTGGGGAATTATTATGAATTTTAAAATTGTCTTTTTTGGCAGCAAGAGGTGCAAATGATAGCTTTAAAAATATTTAAAACTTAATTTCTATTGGTTGAAGGCTGATTTCCAGAAAATTTTAATTTAAAGAGTTAAAGGTTGAAATAAATTTTGAGAAAATTTAGAAAATCTATCCTCATCAAAAGGAAGCTATTGTGCAAAGAAATAAAGTTTGAAAGTAGTGGATTTAACATGATCCAAGAAAATTTCAACTGATAACGGGAGATTATATAGTATAATGAGTATAAGCTTGGTGAGACAAAATTTCTCCCTAATTTTTAGGTAAAATTGGCTCCAAATAGAGAGGCGAAGGACCTAAGTGAAATATTACAAATTGTTGAAGAGTAAACTTGGAAGAATAAATCATTGAATAAAAAATGGCAATTCTTGCATGCGTTAGATTAGGTGTCCTTATGAGTTAGCCCCTTGCATTTAATTAAGGGACACATAAGAGGGATTATGTGGGTAAATCATGGAGGAAGATGGATCAAAATCTTGCCATGCGTTAAAGGTTAAACTACATAGTAAATAAGAGAGCTATTAAGGTGTAAATTTTGGTGTTTCTATAAATATGACCCCTCCCTCTTCTATGAGACATTTTTGGCCAACTAAGAGAGAAAGGGAAGGAGAGAATTTCGGCCTTCAAGGGAGAAAGAAGAGGAGAAGAAGATCAAACCAACCTTAGGCCAAATCAAGTGTCAAATCAAGGTAAAAGCTTGGATTTCTCTTCTGGTTTAAGTTATCTAGTAGTTTGATCGTTTAAATTGTAGTTTTGATGGAGTTTGAAGCATAAATTAATTAGGGTTTGGTGCTGTCCAATTTGATATATGTTGAGTTATAGATGATTTGAAGGTTGTTTATGGATTAGAAAATAGAAAATGCTTGCATTATGATGTTTAAACTTTGTTTTGGAAAAAATTCTAACTTGTGAATCCAAGGGAGTATATTTGGCCAACTAGGGTTCTTGGTACTACGGTTTGATTTTTGTTTATTTGATTCCTTCAATGAGTTTAGGAGGTGAAATTGTGTAGGAATATATGAAGAGTATGTGTTTGGAAGCATTAAAATTGAAAATGAAATTTTTGAACATAAGTATCCTATTTGGCCAAGAGAAGAAATGGTAGGAGGGATTGGATTTTGGTAAATCTAAGTTCATATTTAGATTCTACATGAAAAATCATATAGAAAAAGCATGTGAAACTTAAATTAAAAACGATGATACTAAAACCCTAAAATCAAGGTTAAAGGGTTAGGGTTTTAGGTTAAAGTGTTAATGAAGATTGTTGAAGTTAAATGCAATGCTATTGCGTTGTTTGATTAATAGGCTTTGGCATAGGACAAAAAGGAGTTCAAGAGCAAGAGAAGGAAAGCAAGAAATTGAGGCTAGCAAGAGGTAGCAAGAACTTTCAATGTTAGTATTGAATTATTTGGTTGTTTATGTTATGTGTATGTGCCATAATGTGGTTGAGTTATTTATGTGGAACTATAGTTAACTCCTTGTATTGCTGCATTGACAAATATTTTTAGTTGAGTTGTTAAATGGTATGTTTTATGCTCCTTTTCCATAGCATATTGATGATATGTTTATGGTTTGGTTAATACTTGCATATAACATAAATTTACCTTACATTTTAATTCTTTAATTCATGTTCCTTGCTATTGGGATTCTTTGAAATCTCACCCAATTATATTTGAATTACAATCATTTAGGAGATGGAAGCTCCAATGGAAAGGGCAAGGAGATGGCATAAATTTGCAGATCTTGGATATGTTTAGTATTTTGGAACTTTGTTTTGTATAATGTGTAATTATGAATGGTTGACTCCTTGACAAATATGTACTGTACAACTTGGTTAAAGTATGATTCTAAGTTAATTAATATGATAGATAATGGTTTTGAGATGATAAAATGCCATGGTGCAAGAACTGGGATTGAATGGTTGAAGATTGACCAATCTGTGCCTAAACTTTAACCTGTGAAATTTTGAGCAAATTAATGAGTTGAAACCTGAAACTTAACAGTATAATACATCTCACTTTTAGCTTTAAAATGAGTGATAATTTATTAAATTTGGAGTTTTTTGCAAAAAGTTATACCTTCCCAACGTTAGGCATAAATTTTGAAAAAAATGAAAAAAATAACCAAATGAACAATGCATATTTGTGTGAAAACTAAGAATGCGTGAGAGGGAATCATAACCTGAAAATATTTTTTCCTTAAAGATCTCTTTGAAAGCTTCAAATAGAACTTGAAACCAGTTTATTTTGATGTTTCTAGAATTAGTTATGATTTTTGAAAATTAGTCAAATTTTAGGGTTATGTGAATAGTAACCTGAGAAGAGAGGTTTTGAAATCTGAAATTCACCAACTTAAAAGCTTAATAAATAGTTGCATTTGCTTCTATTTGATATTAAAAAGGATTTAAAGTTAAGGTATTACATTTACTCCTTTGGTCCTATTAATAGGGCACAAAAAGAAGATTTTTTTTGTCTTATTTAGAAGTCATTTCATTAGATTTTTACCATAATGTACTATATTGCCCTTTATTTATTGTAGTGTAGATAATTATTTTTGTTAAAGGTGCATATATTAAATAGGAATGAAGTTGAAAAGTTACTATATTTTAACAAAGAGTTAATGGAGTTTAAAGTTTTTCTTAGTTTATGTGAAACATGTTGGAAGTACCTTATAAATCCAGATTCACAACTGCTTAGGTGAAAACATTGGTTCTCCTGCTATAAATTCACAGCAAAATACATCAAGGGATATCACAACACACTTGCTGATTACCTATCTAGATTACCCATCATTCAATTTCTTACCTCAAGAAAGTCCATGCTTTGCTGACCTATCCAAAATAGCTATGGTTGACTAACTAAGAGAAACAGATAAATTGTCTCGTACTAATCCTATTGTTGAAGACCACTTCTTAGGAGGCAATGATGAAGCCTAAGGAGAAAATAATCAACCAGATCCAAAATAGTTATGGTTGACCAACTAAGAGAAACAACTGAATCGTCTTGTACTAATCCTATTGTTGAAGATTCCTTCTTTAGAGATGATGATGAAACCCAAGGAGAAAATACTCAACAAAATCAGCATAATAGTAGAACAATCGTTGGTCCTTGGTTTACCTTTAGTGATCTTGCTCCTTATAAGTAGTGAGATCATTTACATGAATTTGGAGCATGGCTAGATCTTCAAATGACAAGACTAGAAATTAATCTTAAACAAGTTATTGCAGAATTTGTCTTCCGCATGACTAGGTCTTTGAGAGAATTGTTTACTTAGATGAATCCCTATACACAAATGCAACTCTTCCGATAAGAAAGTCCTGGATTATTTCTTAGAGCTATATATAGAGAATTCTTAGGTGACTTCAAT